ACGGGGGTGTGCCAAGGGATGGCCTCTCCTCACCCGCCAGCCGGCCACAGGGTTCTCTGGCCCTTGGACTGCAAGGACAACCTGCCAGACTTCTGTACCTGAGTTACCAGGTTTTATCAGGGGATGAGCAACAGAAGCAGAGGTATTTTCTGTTCAGAATACTAGTGTTGTGAATGACTCAGCCACACACACCTGTGACAGGTTAATCTCCGTTTCACAGTCCCTGCGTTTCGCCTGTATTCCCATTCTGTCAGTTCTCAAGCTCACTCTTACCTGAGTCTGACAAAGCTCAGTCCAAAGCTTGGGGAACAGCGCAAGATGAAGTGGCAAACCTTCATATGCAACTAGGACACCTGAAATTTTATGAGAAAGTAAGTTATTATGTGAGGATTTTGTCAGAGACAGTAATTTCTGATAAAAGTACTAGCAAGGTAAAAATATTACATTGTAAGAGGGCATTCTAAGCATTTTTTATAGTCCAGAAAGAACTATCACCTGTGAAGCTCTTACAGCACATTTAATAAATACGTGTATCCCTGCAGTATTTCTGTGAAAAGAAAAAAACTGGAGAGCTGGCTTTAATTCTGTGTTTGTCAGCAGGTTACTTTATCACTGTCCTACATTTTGAACTGGTCACCTACAGCGCCTTTAAATATCTTGTAAGTTAGTTTTAAATTTTTTATTTTCCAAAAAGAGCATATAATTTTCAGAGGGTAATCTTCACTGTTAGCCCAAGCACCATCCTCACCTAGAGTGCAGAGCTGCAGTTAGCAGGTTCCCAGTGAGCTTTACAGCTAACAAACTACAGCAGATATTGGCAGTGACAGAGTTACCATCAGGGGAGCGTGTCCAACAACGAGCATGTGGGTGACTCAGGGGATCCAAAGAACAACCCACCCTACTGCCTTGGCTCTTCAGACAAGATACATTTTGTCTGGCTGTACTTGTCTGGAAGTGGTATTTAATCACAGCTAGCTAGCCAGTCCCTACAGGCAGAGGGAACGAGAACAAGCGGGTGCTGTCAGAAGGTGGTTCTTTCTCCTAGAGATATTAAAGAACTGGGAAGACAAATTTCTCTTGGGGGGAGTCGACATCTGTCTACTGACTACAGAGGAAAACCTGGCTACATGTCTAAGTTTTAGACAACCAAAGTGAGACAGCTCCCGGTGTGTGTCCCCACATAGTAACTGCTTGTGTGAGACAGGTTTGTGCAGCTACACCCACCGTACTGGGTAAATTTGCTATCCTATGGTCTGAGGGGCAGGATCTGAAAAAAAACCCAAAGCCCACACAGTGCCTTTGGGGCAGCACACGGATGTAACGGGGCAGTCCCAGGCAGGATGCTCTCCTGCAGAGAACAGCAGAAGGGATGGAGCAGTCGGGCAGATAAAGCCATGAACACACCAAAAATAACAATTTTCATTGTGACAGGAAGGAACCCAGTTGCTGCTAGCTACTGGGAGAGCTGGAACAAGTGTCGGGTACAAACTACGTGACTGAATGGTGATAAACTTAATTAAATGTTGTGCTGGTTCCCAATAGGAAGGAATAAAATAAACCCGGGGTGGTGGAACAGAACCCATGCTGCCTGTGGCTGGCTGTATGTGCTCCTGGGCAGACTGCCCATTAATGCTAACGACAGAGATACTGAGCATCCAGGACCTGAGCCAAAGCCACTTGAACTGCCAAACCAAAAACCAGAACAGCTCCACGGAGTCCTGTATTAATCTCAAAATGTGCAAGGAGACAGGATTCTCACCGCTCACCTCAGCTCCCTTCTGGACAGGCTGCAGTGTGACAGTCACACAGGTGAGACTGCACTACATTACACACGGCGTACCATTTTGTGGGTGAAATCATGTCCAGAAACATTAATGCAGCAAGTTTCACGAACTCTGCTTTGTCTTAAAAGCTCTGAATATAAAACTTGGTGGAGAAGCACTCACAGTTACCACAGAAAAGAAATCCTTAGGCTGTTTAACTTTCATACTTACTCATTTTAACTAAAGTTTCAGTAAACTTTTCACAGTTGATTGCAACTCGGCATAGTAGATGGATGAACTGATGATAAGAAAAGAAGTAGTCTAGCAGCATGCGATCGTAAACATCATCTTTGCCCTGAAGATTTAAGAGAGCTTCATTTAAACTACATAAGCAACTGGACAGCAACCGGCCCTCCTAAGATCTAACTCAGCGTTGCTGCACTTCTTGCCCTTAAATGTTTAACCACATGCTACAGGAAAACACAATGGGAATTTCTAGGTCCACCCCAGGCCAGCTGCCTCCTCACCGAGCCCTTGGCCAGCACAACAGTGAGACTGGAGGAGGGACGGCGAATGCAAATCCCCCACCAGTAAAAACTTCTGTCGTGGGATTCTGAATCGCCAGACTGAGAAGATGCAAAGCTGTGAGCACACCACATCTTGGAGATGGCAGGGAAAGGCGGCAGTAATTTCAGATCATACACAGACACCTAAATATGTGTACATGACTGCTTTGTACATCACCATTTGTCAGTTACGATCTGTAGTAGTCACAATTTTCTCAAGACTGAGATGCGTAAGCTTTCAGAGCAGGATTTCCAGAAATGTCTCAAACCAAATGACAATTTTATGCTGAGGGTTTTGTGTGCCAACAGTGTATTTTGGATGCATACGCTTCAGATGGCATCAGCTTCTATAGACCAGATAGCCAAAAGGAAATCTCAAAACCCTGAGTGAACAAATACAATCTTATGCAAAATGAATGACAAAGAAGCGTGTAAACCTGCAGGGAAACCTAACTGGATGTGGTTTTAGAGGCTTAAAAATCCTCTAGCTCCTAAAGTACAAGAATTCACTATAAAGTGTGAAATACCATATCATATAATGTGACTTATAAGTTGAAATATTTACATTATTTAGTGCCACATCCATGACATGTGGATACATGACAGAAAAGCCCACTACAGATCATTTCTGGCTCTGTACATTCTTAAGAAAACCCCTTTGGTTACCCCAAAGTAAATTGGATGGCACACAACTCTACACAGCATCGTTTGGAAAGCTTTAAAAAAGAAGGGTTACTTACCCTACAGTAACCGTGCTTCTTCGAAATGTGTTGCCCACACAGATTCCCATCTACGTGCACATAGGCCCCATGTGCAGGAGATTGGATTCTTTCTGAATAGCAGTGTCCACTGGGGCTGTGCCTGCACCCAGTGTGTCCTTGCGACCACTGTACCTGAGGGCATAAGGGGTATGGCGGCTTCAACCACCACTCAATTCCTTCACCGTAAGAATCCCCTATGACAGGGCTCGGAGTTAGCACAGGAGGAGGACCACAGAATCTGTGTGGACAAAGCATCTTGAAGAACCACAGTTACTGTACAGCAAGTAACCAGTTTTCCTTCTTCAAATGATTGTCCATACATATTCCTTTTAGGGTGGGATTCACCTTACCTGACTTTAGCTATCTAAAATCTAGTCACTTCAGCATTCCCTGCAGTCAATGGGGAGAGAGGTGGACTGCTCCAGAGGCAAAGCCACCCCAGCAGACTTGGGGGGCACTAGGACAGGAAGGAGGGTGACTTACTCCTCTCCTTCCGAGGGCTGCTATTTATTGCCATGAACCATAGGAAGAGCAGGACTCTGACCTTTTAGATAGGCAAAGTTACGTGAGCTGAATCCCACCGTTACAGCTGCATCTGTAGTAACGGGACGTGGCAAGTGACTGTGAAGTAGCCCCACTGGAGCTGGCGTCCCCTCAGGGACCCCACAGGAGGGGAAATGGAAAGCAAAAGACTTAAAGCCCTGTACGATATTTCAGGTACTGGCATTTCACCCAAACAGTTCTCAGATTATGCCTGAGTCCCGGTGGAACTGACTCTAAGAAAACCTGGAGGATGTACTCAGCTGCCTAGTAATAAATCTTAACACCCTCTGAGACCCATCTGCACGATCCCTGGGCCGTTCCTAAATTTTCTTTATAAAAGCCACAAACAGACTGGACGGTTATCAAAGTCTGTGGTTTGGTTTTTTATCTAAATACAAGGTTCAAACTCTTATGTCTGGAACATGAAGCTGCATATCACCAAGGGCAGGGAAATGGTGCTTCTGGAGTGCACATCTAGAATGGAGTATATGAGGACAACACATCTTGAAGAAGAATTATGCTTGGTTTCCAAAGAAAATGTAAATGCGTTATGCTACTGGATTCTTAGAATCCTTTCAGAGAAACAGGAACACGACAGAAACAGCTCTTTCTGAGCCCTCTCGTTACGTACCTTGCTGGCTTCCACCATGGTGGGCAAGAGGCACATGTTAAGCTCAGGGCGTGGAGGACGGATATTGCTTTTTCCCCCTATTAATTTCAAATTTTCACGACATGGAAAATAAGGTCCAAGAGACACTGTAGTATAAGTTAGGATAAAACAGGGATATATCAAAAAGGTCAATATTTGACATCAGCAAGGAACACGATAGAGTAATTAAAGCATAAGAGAACTTCAAAATACAATCACTGAAATACCTACTTGGGATATTACTGTGGTGGTATGTACAATGATTGTGCTGTAGAAATGGAACCAGAGTATGTAGGAAATCATGAGGACTTAAAAGTACAAGCTCCTTGAGGACATCTACAAACAAAAAGTTGTTTTTGCTATTACACATTGTTATTTCTTAACAGCAAACAGTTTAACTTCAGGCTCATGCATTTGCAAACTCTCTCAGGCCGCCTCTGCCACGCTCCGTGCGCGCCCAGCGGGCGGCTCTGCCGTGACCAGCACGGGAAGCCAACACCCCTGCCTCAGGCTGGGCCCCTGCACCTCTGCCCCGGGGAGAAACCTGCCCAGTGGTGGACCCACCACCAGTGAGGGGGCACCACCTTGTGCAAAGTGGAAGCTCAGCAGGATTACCCTCTATGCCTTCTGAAACATATCAGGTTTGACGCCTGAAAAATGTCAGCCAGCAGCAGTCAGGACAATGAGAAAGGCACTCAAAATAAGGGGAAAATGGATACAAATCACACACAAAAAAGCTAATTTGGACACAGGTTCAAAAAAAAGGTAATTAGGCCTTCATCAACATGCATAAAAATGGAGATTATATCCATTAAATAACATTTTAAAAGCTTTAACCTGAAAAAAATCTAGCCCTCTTTGAACAAGGGCTGCTGATGCAAAAGAAACATTTACTTATATTGTCTACGCCTACAAGTTAGAAAGGCAAATCCATTCCATTCTAGAAGCTATTTCAGTTCTACTTTTATTGCTGTACCTTCTGGCAGTGGGTCGTAGAAACAAACACCAAAGGCTGCTGTTCAGACTAACTTGGTCACCGTGCACCCTTCTGAGTGGAGCATCAGTGAATACCTGAATCTTAATCTAAGATTTGGGATTTGACTGAGAGCTCCTGGACACCCGAGTCCAGGAGCTAGTCCTTGGTCATGCCCCTCAACAGGTACCAAAGTGGCCTCTCCCTGTGACTTTCTGCGCACGCGGGGGCCTGGGTCTGGGCAAGCAGGAAGAGTAGTTTTAACCTGACAAACCCACAATTATTTAGAACAGGAACAACAGCAATACTGACGCACTGACAATATTAACAGACACAATCCCAGTCTATAGGGTGTCTAGTCAGTATCTGCACTGGCCGAACTGGGACCTGCATTTCCCAGCAGGGACTGCGGGTCCGCTCGGGGCACTCACCAATGCAGGCGTTCCTCAGCTCTGGAGGGCTGTAGGAGTTGAGCAGAGTTAGGAGCTTATGGGCAAATTCAATGCGCTCCTGCCACTGAATGAGAGCCTGCTTCACATCTGCAAGGGTGAAAACCAGAGAAATCTGCTCAGGTGATTTCTCAAAAGGTCACTGAAGAAAGCACAGGATTTTACTGCTGAACAATCTCTTTTTCCTCTAGCATGATTTGAATGAGTTTAGACATCTGCAACATCTCACTGGTCTACTGCCATGAAATTTACTGAATCTAGTTTCAACTTACATCAATAAATAATTTAGTAAGTAACAATTTAATAACTGTTAATAATCCAATCTCCTACTGTATGGGAAGTTTTAAACCACAGATAATTAGCATGATAAAAGATCAGGATTTGGGTCATGACAATTAGTGAACAGACAACAAGCACTATCCTCCCAAGAGTTACAGTCAAACCTTTTCTTTGAAGATACGGACGTGTTGACTTAAGAACCGAAAGGAAAATAGACAGAAGTTCTACCAGGTCTCCAGTCACATGGCAAGCCGTAGCCTCGTGGTACATCATGTGCAACGTGTTAAAGGACTGCAAGGAAGAAATGCCAAAACTGCCTTTAGGCTGCCAAAGTAACAGTCTCATTACCGTTTCCATTTCTACCCTATAGGTACCGCTTGTGCTCAAACAAGGGGTACCAAAATATAACCACAAAACTACTGAAAGAGAACATTTTAATAGAGAATAAATACTGATACAAAATTAATATAGTTACTAAAAGATTCTAGAGGAAAAAAGAAAAAAGAAAGAAAATAAAGGGGGGTGGGGGGTGGTAGGGGAAAGGTGCAGAGAGAGAGAAGGGAAGGGAGAGGACAAATGAATGACCAGGTATCTCCTGTAACAACCAAACTTAACTGTTAACTTGAACCATCTAGTCTTGGTCACACTAAACAACAGGCAGTCCTGCATGGGCGGTGGCACTGGCACTTGCCTTTGGCCAAAAAGCTGATTTTTGTTCTCACGGGGCCCCAAAATTAGAGTCATAATCAATTTTTAACGTGTGCATGCCAGAGGGAAACTAAATTTGTAAAATTTATTATCATGTGAATCCCTCTGCAAGTAGCTACCACCCTTTCCCACTCAAGAAATAAGTACATCAGTACATCTCAGAGGAAGAGACATCTAAAAACAGTCTTAATTTGTTTTCAAGGCAAAAGGTTTCTGTTAGTGGCTCGAAATAATTACAGTTTTCACACATTTACCTAAAAACCAATGAACAAGGCATAATTTAAGATACAGTATTTTCCTATACCTGCAATCCCAATCTTTCTGTGCCAACACACAAAGTGATGTGTATGTGAATTTGGGGAAAGCCATCAGATTAATAGAAATGCCAGTCATTTTTCAAAGTGCTGCTTAAGGACATGAGCTCTATGGCTGTCAATCGGATGAATTACTTCCCCTTTCAGAACTAGGATACCTTCTGGGCATCTGTGATTTATAGAAACACTGGGAAGAAAACGCAATTCATTTCCAAAATGCAAAAATTCTAACACAAGATGTAAGAAAAGATATTTAATCTGTGGAGAGATTTTAAAGATGAAGACAGAGTAATTTGGGTCCCTACAAAGTCTTGATAGGCCAGTTCTGTATTTCAGTGACAAGAGAAGACAGACAGACAGCCCTGCTAAGTGGGAAACTTTTCTGGATGTGACAGCTCCTCCATGCACTGTTTTTCACTGTGCAAAAAACTTCCAGTGAACAAGTGAAAATACAGGGTGTGGTAATTTCAAGCTGTAAAGCAACATTAGTTTTACCTGATTTCTAGCAATGTTTTTACATAGGATAAAATGCATCTTTATTAAAAATAAACATTGTAGCATAGTCAGGGTTAACTCAGCTGTTCACAAGTTCTTTTCATACACATGTATGTATCTTAGGCAGAGTTTCTTGCATCAAATGCTCGAGTTTCATGTATGAATAAAGTTATAGCTCAGTTCCTAAGTCTGTAGCCCAAGTTTGCTGAATGTAAGCATTTTCAAGACAAGGAGGAACACATACTCTGGAGTGATGAACTACAGTTAATTAATCAATAGGCTCAGATCCATAACATTTTCATGAAAACTCAATTTTCAAACAGCACTGCATTTTCATTTTTCTGAGTTTGTAATTCCAGCTTTTCCTGTCACACTTTTCCTCAGAAAATAAAACTACAGACCTAAAAATGTTGAGAATTTTTTGAATAAACCATATAAAAATGGGATTGGAATCAACCTGAAAGCATCAACTAGTCCATCCATGTGACTTAAAGCAGACAAAAGATCTCTGTACCCTTGACAGGTGTTTGCTCCAAGTCCTCCTGATGACTTCCACTTGGGCTGGCTGACACAATATGTTCCACTTACTGTACAGCTGCAACTCTCTCCTCACACCATGGATTTCTCCCAGTTTATCATCTCCCCCCAACTACACCGTTCTATATATGCCAAGAATTAACTGCATCTTATTTTTACACTTTCTCCAACACATCCAGACAAACAAGACCTCAATCCTCTCAGCCTAGCCTGTAGGAAGCTTTCCCTGTGTCTTTAGAAGCAGGCAAACATTGTCCTGATGATCTTTCTACTACCAAAGTACTCTAATTAAAGACAGCAGGGTAAGCACTGACGTGACAAAAGCCACAACAGGTTTCCCACTGCTGGTCACATCTCTTGCTAGTTGCAACTTTTCCAGTAGACCCAACTTACTCTCCACTGTGAACCTCAGAGCAATTGAATCTACCCTGACAGATGAGATGACAGATCACCCCTTTTATTTCTTGCCCATCTTTCCTATTTAAGGACATCCTTTTATAGTTACCCTACCAAACCACTGTTCTCAGCTAAACTGTTATCTTCATCCTGCATTAGGACTGGTATTGCCTCAAATTTACTCACAACCTCCCTCATTAGTGTTTAGACATACAAAATACCTGGTAAATCTTTTTCTGTTCTTCCTACGACCTTTACAATTTTAAGGTTTTACATGTATGCCACTACTTAATATATTTCATGTATTTAATATGGTACAATCTGAAAACCATTTAAAGCAAATACATCAGGAAGAAAGTGAATGTTTGTTATAATTAAATAACAAAAGTACTTACCTCAGTCATCAGAATCAATCCTCTATTAAACACAACAAGAAGTCTGTCCTCATCAGATTCTAATAATATTCTGAAGGCACTAGGAAAAAAAAACAAACATTGAGAACACTGAAAATAAATTTTCACAATTTATTCATGTGCTTAAAATGGCTACGCTATATTTTGGAAAATAGTCACACAAAACCAAAAGAAATCCCAAAAGAACATAATTCTTCTCTTCATTTTCCCCCCTGCTTTTTCATGCCTCTGATGTCAACTTTCTGTTATCAAAAGGAATTTATAAACAAGTTTTTACAGAATTATTTCCCACATAATGTCTGCAAAAATTCTAAAAACTAAGGAAAGTAATGCACTTCAAAAGACAGAAGTTTATGCTTGTTGAATGATACTTTTAAAGAGGTTCAGGTAAGCACATGTTTGGACTTTTAAATGTCTAAAACCTTTTAAACCAGATAAAGCTCTGTCCCACAGGCCCTATTCCTAAAAATCATATCTGCCCCAAAAGAGCAGATGTCAACGAGAGCAGCTGAAATTCCTGCTTTACCCATCTAGACTAATCATGGTAGGCTGGGAATGGAACTGTAGCTTGAATGCAGAGTTAGAGCACTGACTGATACTGTTTTAGGTTTCTTCCAAGGCCTCTACCAATGCAACTGTGTCACAATGTTTCTTTTCGAACCCTAACAACAAACGTCCTGGTTTGCATTTGTTTATTGTAAAATATTCTCCTGGTTTCTGAATTTGCAGCTGATGAAACGTTCTAAAATAAATAATATTCTGAAATAATGGACTTGAGGCAAAAAAAAAGTTATAACTGTAACTTTGTGTTTTGCTTACTTCTGAACAAAAGTATCCCAAAACCTTTTTGAAAAACAGTATCAAAATAGTAACACTCCATTTTACTGCACTTCCTGTTTGGTAAGGTAACAGTTGTTATTGCAAGGGGATTAGGCTCTCAGAGCACAGCTTCCCCACTGAGGTACCTTATTAAAGTAGTCCAACACGACCGGCCGTCCAAGCAGCGCAGGTAACAGCTGATGGTGGTTTTCTTAAATTGCTTGATGTCTTCGATTTCCTCCTCTCTCATGTCTGGTCTCTGAGCTACAAACAGCTGCATGAGGTTAAACAGCTCTTCTACTGCCTAAAACACAAAAATATGAGGTTAGAGGAATCTCTTGCAGTGTGTTATGGTTTATGTCATATCTGTACTACTTATTGTGCATTACCCCTGCCAAGTACCACACAGAACACACATACAGAAGCCAATTTAGAGGGGAATATGTTTTTAAGCATTACAGTGAAATAATAAAATCACCAGACAACACTTTAACCTTATGTAGTTGAAACTAAATGGTTCTTAGAATCTAAAATTCCGACATAGAAACTGCGGTTACTTCTTGCCTGTCTTGGAACATAGTTTACTTTGTTTTTACCTTTACTATTTACTGTGTGGATTGGGACTGAGACATTTGAGATATCCCTTCTGAACCTCAAATGGCTGTTTTGATGTTTCCTGGCACCACAGCTCAATGCCTCAAACATAGATAGCCAGAAACTGCAATCTTGATCCACGTTACCAAACTTCTCACCTTTTCTTAATGTGGAGTGTCACCTCTAAGGTGTGTGCATTATCTGATGATAATGTTCTAGTCCAAGTAACAAAACCCAGAAAGCTGCTCATGCTAAAACTCACTCAAGTCCCGTATGCACACGAAGCAGTAAACACAAGTCCCTTGCAAGCCAAACTGAGACTCTCAAGGGGAGATGCAGACAATGAAAGTTCACAACATCAATTTGCTCTGTGAGCTGAACCAGGATTCCACAAATCCTTCTCCTCCTCCTCTAGGCAGTGGAGGAAATCTGTGTGTTCTCCCTGTCCTTGCGCACCTATAAAGGACATGGTGTTTGCTGAGCAATCATACAAACCCACCTACTTTGTTTCTTAAAAACTCTGTAAGCCTGTTTTTCACCATTACACATGGACTGTTTTTACTGCCATCAGCTGCAAGTGTTGTAACACTGCAGAGACAGGACAGCTCCCAGTGTGGTGATGTTTGCAAAAGCACACAAGTGTTCCCAAGGGGAACACCCGGCGATCTCTGTTCCCATGAACAGGCTGAACCTTGGTTGGCCTCACCCCAGGAACTGACATCGAAGAAAGAACTCACTGGGACTTCCTCCAGCCTGGTGTGTTAGAACGCAACATGCTTTCCTGAGACCACCACTAAAGGCTACTCCTTGTTCCTTAGGAGTGACTGGTGTACAGAATATGGAAGAGCACTGGAAAAGCCAGTGTGTGCTTTTAGAAAAAAACATCTGCTCTCCAACTGCTACATGGTAAAGAAGAAAATCCAACACAGTCCACCCCCAAAGTGCAGTAATTGGATCTAAAGACGTTATTAATTACTTGTACCAGGAAATCAAAATCTGACACTTGCACCACTGGATACGTTAAGTCAGTCATTTAATCTGTTTCATTAAAGGAGACATTCAGCAAGAGGGGAAAACACTAACAACAACTGGTATTTGTTGGGCTCAGTCTACTTACTCCTGGGTACTGACTGGCATGTGGCGTGAGGTTCTTAAAGGCCCACTGGATGTTCTGGTGAGAAGCCAGCTGCCTGGTGAAGGCGGGGGACTGCTCGCAGCAGAGGCGCAGGATGCCGTAGTAGGCGGGCAGCATCCCGCGGTTGAAGAGCACCACGTCCTGGTCGTCGTGGTCCGCCAGGATGTAGTTGAAGGCAATGTTCTTGGTCACCACGGGGTTCTGGACGATAAGGCGCACGTTCTCCGGGCAGTCGACACACACGTTGTACCAGAAAGACAGCAAAGCCTGCTTGTTGTGGTTGGTGGCTATGGCCGGCTCCGAAAGCTTAGGCTGGAAAAGGTTCCACAAGTCCATGAAGTAAGTAGAAAACATGAGTTTCTCAGTTTTTGAGATCAAACAGTACGTCATGAAACTGAAGTAGGGCACCAGTTTTGTGGTGCCATGAACAGCAGCATCAACATATAGCTTAGCTCTTGAGAGAAGGCCAAGAAGCACATTGTAGACTTGATGAAGAACTACTGTGGTATCGGGACTGAGCGGGAGGTCGCGTGTAGGGATGTGCAGAGAGCGGGTCGATCGGAACATCTGACGGAAGGAATTGCTTGGAATAAGCGACACCAAGAGATAGGCTGCAGCTTCAAACAGAAACAAATCCGTTACACCTTTGAAAAGGACATGGATGCTCAACAGCCACTTCATCACAAGTTAAATTACACAGGACATTTACAGGTCACCAAGCGTTTTAGGAAATCTGGTGTTCCTATACTCACACTATAGATTAAAAAAGAAACAAAAATCAGAGCGGGCAGGACTAGCACAAAGCACTTCAGAAGTGGTGTTGAGATGGGCTTTCAGGCCTCTTCACCCTCTATTCCTGCCTGCTGCTTGTTTCCAACTGTTCTGACACAAAGCATCGCATCCCAGAAATACAAACCTAGATGTTTTCTATGACTACACTGTCTATGGCTTGATCAAGATGTCATTAGCTCTTCAGAGATGGTTACAGCCAGAGTTTGTTGCAAAGCTGTACTTCCAGTTTCCACATCTCCCTCAGCCACAGGAAACTATTAAAGTTCATATTAAAGTGTTACTGGGGAATCTCCTTTGTTAAAAAAATTTAGACACAGGAAAGGCTGAAAATGTGATCTGGCAATCCAACAATGTAACTCCTGGCAGCACAAGCTCGAGACCCAGGACACCCTGGGGTTAGGGAGAAGCACATCCTGCTTCTCCTTGATCCATAAGTGCAAAGAACTTGACTGAAGACTACTCTGAGGGGTGAAGGCAGAACATGCACTATTCCCACCTACAGCACACCTATGTGATGGGCATTAGGGAGAACCTCCTGGATTAGCTCTTTTTCTCCTTGGGTTTTCCCGGACTTTGTAGATTAACTACATCAGATAAAGAACCTACTAAAGCATCACTTGAATTAGGAAATCAAAATATAGTTTCCATCAAAAGCAGGCAGCACATCTTGATGAGGCACCACAGCTTTGCTAAGATTTTAAAATACAACAATTGGAAAAGGAAGAAAAGACAAATACAAGGACAAGTATTTAATTTGCAGCTGAAATACCCCACGCACACTAACTTCCTACAATGGAGGAATAGCTCTTCAATTTAAATTAACTTACAAGTTCTCACTCTAGGATAGTTGTGTGCCAGAAGAAAACGTTCAACCCAGTTTTCCATATTTTGCAGCACCCAGCTGTGGGCTAGTTTATTTCGAGGTGTTTGCACAGCCAGCCAGTCCAGGCACTGAGATGGGTTGTATTCAATGACCTGAGAGAAGCGTGGAAAAATCAAAAAGAATACATTAACCTTGATACTATGTACTGATTGGATGAAAAAAAAGTAGAAATAACTACTAAGATTTTCAAAGTATTTTTTCAAAATCACTTAGCACTATCAAAGCACCTACAAGACTGAGGTGCTCTGCTGCACAAAGAAAACCCTTATTAAACTGCAGTGGTTTGAGCTTCTGCATCTTGAGAGTTTTTTGAAGTTCAATCTAAGTCCAGGAAGTCACTCAATGTCTACTTTCTGTGTATTGTGAGGTATTTAAGAGTTTAAATGTTAAGCACTTCAAAAAGTGAATAATTTTGTCTTTATAAACAAATAATTTTTTTTTTTTAAACAGCTAACACAAAACCTTAACACCGAATCAGTCTTTTTACACAAGTTATACCAAAAGAATATAACTCATATGCAAACAGGTTCATATACAGCTTCACAGTGAGGGTAATATTATGGTTTTTTATCAATATGCAATTTCAAGGAATAAATTCATCTAGTGCTTTTCAAAGGAAGTAAAATGCCTGTGGAGGCTATTGTACTGCTATCAAAACCTTACAGATAATAAGGAGAAAACAAAGCTTCCAGTGCCTTTCTGATTCTGCCTAGTTGAAAATTTGTTGGCATGTTATTAGGTCACTGGATATAATTAGTTCACTTGCTAGCTTTTAAGAACTGTTTTCTTTTTACTTTGAGGCCCAGGTGCTCAGACAAGGAAAAAAGAACTCCTCTCTAGCTAGCTAAGACACTACAGACAGTACCTGGATTGCTGAAGCTGTTCTCAGCTACTCTAATCCAGCTGAAGAATGTGTGCAGCTGACATGACCAAAACTAGGCTTATAAAATTTTAATCTCAGTTTAAAAATAAACACATTAAGAACAACCTCCTCCCTTTTTATAGAAATGACAAATTGATCTGTCAAGTTTCCTATGTAATAGCTGGAGGGTATCACCAAAAAAAAAGACCATCATTGTTCACTGTCTTCATAGCTCGATCACTTTTTAACGACTTCTAGAAACTTGAGTGGCTGCAGAAGTGGGTTCTACATCCTAAATCTGTCTGGCTATGCATTAACTACTGGGCCTTTCATCCCTGCCTGCACAAGTTAAATCTCTAGACCTGTGTCACCATGGTGAGGATAACAATGCTGGCAACACCTGAGACTGAACTGATGACTTCCAGTCTATCGCTCAGAGCAAAGATTTCTCCCTGTGCCAACTTGGTTAAAAAGTCTCTTTCTTGCTTTGGAAATGCAAGTGAGAACAGTCCTGCACCACAGCAATTACCCACTCAATTCCACCCAGCACTATTTTATGGGTTAAAGATGTTAATGAGTATTTTATGGAGAACAAGAAGTGTCAAACGAATACTCGAAGAGCTGGCACATAATGGCCAAAAAAAAAGTCCGTGACAAACGATGGGCCTCAAAATATTTTACAGTCTTTCCAAAAGGACAGCTGCAAGAAAATAAGTGGGAGAACAAAAAGTGTCAAACGAATACTCAAAGAGCTGGCACATAATGGACAAAAAGCCCCTGACAAACGATGGGCCTCAAAATATTTTACAGTCTTTCCAAAAGGACAGCTGCAAGAAAATAAGTGGAATTTGCCTGGAAGCAGCATACTAGACCCTTATTATGAATCAATTAACTTCTCATTAAAATGCAATTTGAAGTTAAACTGAAATACCACTTAGCCAGAAGACTGTTAAAGTAACATTAGAAGTTGAAGCAGAACTTTTAAAAGGCTATTAGACATTGCTGTTTATTTGGAAGAGAAAGGGTCACTGAAAAATATGAATTGCTGCAGTAAGGATGTTAATTAAGTGCAAAACCCTTCCAGAGACATAAAAGAATGAATGAAAGACTATTTAGCTTCTGTTTTCTTTTACATGTTGTACCTCCCATATCCTCTGCAGAATGTAGGAAGCGAAGGGTGGCATTCCAAAAAACTGGAGGTCCACCAGCAAATTCCATCAGCATGGTCAGCAATTTGAAAAAAGGATTGGCTGCCTGTAATGTATAAAAATAAAAACAGCCATTTTGATCTATTTCATTTCATCCTTTGATTCTTTTAGAGACTTTAAAAAAAACCACCCCAAACATTTGCATTGAAATATTTCTGTTAACTTTCAACATGAACATTTGTATTAATTTAATCCCTTAATATTTAATCTGTAAATAATCCACACATATCTTGTACTATGTACACCTATGGATACAGTAGAATGGATTAACTTTTCATAGCTAGTGGAAGGCAACATGATCATACCACATAGGACCAGTCTAGTAGAAATACATAGAAGAAATAAGAGTAGACTGTCTGACAAAGACGTTATTCTGAATAAAGTGTGGGAGGGAAAATCAAGCTGTACACTCTTGAGGAATTCACTAATTTATCCTGATTTACATTTATAGCATATTTCACTACCTCAGAGAAACCCTTATTTATGTATCTGCAGAACAAGTAACACGGAACCCGAAATGTTCAGCCGCAAGCATCACAGTTTGAGGGTTTACACTCATCATTATTACTGGTGTACTGTTTTCCTCTGAAATCACCAACATTTCTGCTCTAATATGAATTGGCTTTTTAAAAATTTGCCAAGACTCACTCAGCTTTTAACAATGCCTTAATAACGTGGTCACTACCAATGGTACATATTTTGCACCTCATCCGAACCGCCTCTGGTGCATGCGCGTATGCACAAAGCAAAAACAGCATCAAAATGTAGCAAATGTTAGCGTGCCAGGAGGGAAGCAGACTCATCTGATAGTGCCCATTCTATCACACAAAGCAAAGCTGTCATGAGCATGATTTAGTACGTGCTTCTTTTCCAACCATGATCATGCCTCCCCTGCTAGACGTGCCCTCAATTTGTCCTGATCAGTTTTTCTTTACTGACAGCACTCTGCAAGAATGTCCTTGTGTGAGCATACACTTCTCCACTCTCTGTATATTTTTCATGTGGAATCCATTTAGATATCTCAATATTTTTGTTATTACCAGGGCAGGAATTTATTCTGACTGAGAAATGTGTTTGCATGCACAGAACTGCAAAATAGGGCCCCAAAACTTCAACAACGAGACCACTGATACGTATCTCCACTTATTCTAACATATGTATTTCATTGTTACCAATTATATGTATTTTTAAAATTCATATAGGTGGAGAATCTAGAAATATGTTATTTGGCTTTGAATAGAACTTTCATCTCAAACTGCATACCAGATTTCTCCTTTAGAAAACTTTATATACAGTGCAGTTAGACTTCATTTAATGTCACAAAAACTTCCATGGATCATCTTCCATGCAAGATTTTTGACTAGCAAAGGATTAAGTAATTTAAACCAGAAAAATATTAATACAAATTATTTAATATACAGGTAGTACGTTTACATACCTCAGGAGTCAACTTTGCTATAGATGTGAAAAGCATGGACACAATCTTAAAAACAAAACAAACAAAACTCACTTAGACTTGTGCTTATTCAGTTAAAACAATAAAAATCACCCCATTACACTCATTAGATAAGATTTTCAACAAATAGCTACAGTTTCCTATACTTACATGCTCTGCAAGTCGATTATTGTATCGACACAAACTGAAAATGAGATTGCAAGTTTGCCTGATGTTGATACCGTCACGGATATGTTGAAATAAAAAAGGAAAACCCTGCAACAAACAATAAGATATTGGTACACTGCCTACAGTTATGTATATACAATTATGTGTCTACATATACATGCAGTTTTTTTGAGGCTTGTACAGTTTTATTTAAATGAATTCCCTTTCCTCCTGTTAATGCTGCCATATCGTTTTGTGACAAAGTCAAATGCCTAAAACACAAAAAAAACCTTGATCATTTTACTTCGCAGGTTATCAAATAAGATTAAGGAGAAATACAGGACTGAATGCTAGTTTATGTTCTTCACTATCGCAACATACAAGAGAAAAAAAGGTATTGACATAAAATTGAACAAAAATAATAAATATTTTATACTTAAACTAAATAAAGAAAGAAACCCATATCTGGGCAACTGAATGTGTTCAAGGATTTAGCCTGAGTCCTTTATTTGGCCAACACTGACAAAACATTTATCTTTTAAATGGTTAAAAATATAAAGGACTCACATACCAGATCATTTATGCTGTTAAGGAGGCCCACAAACCCCCCCTCAAACCCATAAAATCTCCAATTCCTTTATGAGTTAGCTTAGATTAGATTTTCCTTTTGTTTTTCAGAAGCTCTTGCCTTTCTGAGCGAGACTGTTCAACTAGAAGAGCAATCAGGGCAATCATCTTTTCAAGTGCAGCAGGCCTGTATTTTTCTTCTGCTAAAGAAAGTATATCTTCCTCCTCCTCCTCCTCCTCCCCTTCTTCCTCAGAAAGTACTTCAACCTGTGGCTGAAGCAAAAAAAAAAAAAAGGTAACTTCCATATGGATATTTTGCGCCTTAATTTCAAAGAGCCTGTATGTGATTTTTCATATATTCTGTCCTCTCTCATTCAAAACATCTTAATAAACTTGCATGACTCAAAGCAGGGAAATACCCGATTGCCCCATGTTGAAACATTCATTTTGTATAAGCTAAACTGTATTTACAAAAGCAAAAGGAGGCTGGTTGAGGTCATTACATAGCCTGACATGGTGGTCTACTTAATACAAAAAGCAAGCTAATTGAAAAGCTTAAGTTGTACATTAGGAGTAAGCAATCAATTGTTACCAGTGATAGCACCAGGAGGGCAGCTTTGCTTCTACTTAGTATGTGCTTCTATAGGAAACAGAAAACTCTGGTGTACAGCACAGCCAATTCAGCATCTTTTGAAAATATTATATTGACTTAAACCTTGAAAAAAACCTGCAGGAGTTAAGCAATTTCAATTTAACAGCTGAAAGATGGTTCAAGAGGCACATCACTAATGATCCCATGTAAACCAGGAAAGAGTAGCTCTCGTCATACGAGGTCTTCACACTTACATTCTCAGGCCCTTTGGTTCCCATGTAGAAATGGACCATTGTAGATATGGCTTGCAGCGAAAGCAAGAACTGGCTCTGAAACATGGAGATACCGAATTACTTCAAAATAGACACCTGCATGCACGTACCTAATCTCCAAAGCTTCCAGGCTCTGCTTACCTCCTCCTCTCCCATTTTGGCAAACTCGTAGAGGAAGGCGAAGTACTCGGTGAGGTGTTTGCTGTGAGGCTTGACCCCGTGCTCCATGATGGACAGCAGCGTCTTCACAAAGCGCGTCACGCACGAGCGGCTCCCGATGTCTTCCACAGGCCCATCCATGTCATCCGAGCTGAGAACAAAACCCAGTTTAGAGGCTGCACACAAGATGCAGAGGATAAAATCAGCTTGAAGCAGTCAAAAAAGATAATTCAGAAAACAGTTTTCTGGTCAGTCCTGAGATCATACTCAGGCCTCTGGCACTTTCTCTTACGCCAGGTATAGCTTATAACAACATGGCTTAACGTAAGGTAGCATCTGTCACTCCAAATATTGGAAGGTTAATAAAATTAGTATTGTGAATAAAGATTCTAGTCAGAAAAAGAATTCTTATCAAAACCAGTGTTAGGCTATCTGATACTTAAAATCATTTTCTTGACCTGCATGTCCAATTTCTTGAGTTTCACAAGAGGGTGCTGCTACAGCTAACTGTGCTGTGGAACTAAGACCGGCAGCCTGCTGAACACGTGCACAGGATCCTGACCAGGCACAAAACAGGCACTTTTGACCTTATTCCTCCACTGAAAGTTGGATCTTATCACTCAACAAAACAAGTGCCACAGCCTTTAAAATAAAGCTTCCAGAGAAAATTAAATGCTATTTTTTTGCCATCAAAACTGTATCTTCACGTCCCGAATTTTGTTATGGCAGTACAGTTCTTGCAAACTCTGCCACTTCTGCTCTGGAAAAAAAATGATCATTTGGATCACAATTTTAATCTGAGAGATGAAAGAAAAGGAATTTCTTCTTTTCCTCATTATGTATCAAAAAGAATAAATATTTCAAAATTGGAGACAAAGTGACAGTTTTCTTGATAATTAGCAGAACAAAACAGAATCCAACAGTGTTTTTTTTCCTACTTTTTGTCAAAAACTGATTTAGCTATATGACATAGGACTAGTCTCATCTCCAACTTCTTTTACTGGAGGTACAAATTAAAATATGCACTTCTGTGCCTCTAGGTCCAATTTACAACTGGATTCTCATGCATAAATAGTGAGATTTACACTTGCAGCATGTAACTGACAGAAGAGAGACTATGCTGAAAGTTTAGTCTAAGGGCACAAGTGCTATGATAGATCTTTAGACACCGTCTTGTCCAATCACAGTAATATTTTTAAATAAATCAAAGCTTTTCGGGTTGATAATAAAGAACAATTGAACTGCAACTATTTTAGAATTAAAAGACCATTTTGAATAATTCATTAAACAAAAGTGGTGGCTGTAACATGTGTAATAGCTACAAGTTTTTAGGAGTTGTTATTTTACCAGTCTTCCATTCCTGGCTGGAGATAGAGATGTGCATGCACTGGCCTCAGTCTCTGTATCACGTGGATACACAAACGCTGGAACATCTGCAAATGCACAAGCAAATCAACTCCACATGTTCATTCCTTCACACATATGGCAATCCATATCTTCTAAGCAGAGAAAATTCTGTCTCCAAGTCCTATTTCCAGTTCTATGTGATTTAAAAGTTAAAACTGAGACACCCACATTCCACTGCTTAGTGTTTTGACACATCGTATTGTAACAGAATAGTCGAACCTGGTTTGGCAAGTGGATCTGGTGGAGGAACCCTAAACAAGTTTTTAATATCAGTGCACACTGTACACTACAGAAACATGACTTAAGACTGCTGCTCATGAACATTATTTTTCTTCAATCTCTATTTTTGGAAATGTTTAGATATTTTTGGCACGATATTTTGAAATTTTTGTTTCTGCCTGTAAGAATTTATGTAAAAGTTTTAAGGAAATTCCTTCCAGTGGTTTTTAATTTATGAAACATTCATCAAAGATTAGAGCTTTGCCTAAGAACTTGCACAGAGTTCTCCCACAAAGTACATTCCTTTAATACTGGATTAGATACAGAAAGCACGTATGGTTCTATATGGTGATTTTGCTTTAATAATCAGGAAAGTTAAACCAGCTGAATGATTTAGTTGAGATAAAGTAATTTTACCTAAACGACTTGAAATGAAAGGATAAATGACACTATTAATAGTATTTGTGCCTGTGAATACCCAAATGCTACTAACAAAGGGCTTTTTCAATTTTGAACGTTTTCAGAAAAGGGTGTTAACAAAATTTTGTAGCATAAAGTTATAAAATTAAATTTACCTACAAAACCCAAAGGCAGAAGTTTAGAAGTGAAGCTTTCCATTAGAAGTACTGAATGTACATTATTATGTTTTATTTTCTGAATGTGTGTCCTGACACCAGTTCAGAAGAAAAACACTTTTAATGTAAACCATTCAAATTTGTAGAGATCATGAGGGAGTTGTAAAAATCTTGGTTTATATCCATTGTTTTTGTACATTGATTTTGTGTACAACTACAGCACTACAGTTACATCGGTTTTGTTTCAAACAACAGTAATGATCCCATGGCCAAATATTTTCTCTAAATCATATGAAAGAATAGAAAAGAATAAGATAATTACAGGCAACAATAAAAGCTTAGAATCACTGTATGTATCAAAGTAACTGTCCATTTCTGGTCATGGGTCAAGCAGTCACTTGACTTGAAAAGGAACACGTTTTTCTTACCTGTCTCACAATCTGATTGGGACACTTTATTAGAATCTGCATTGGCCACCAATCATCATCAGCCATACGATCCAAAAACCACTGCAGAAGATACATACTTTGTTAGTTTTGTTCCAAACTTGTTCTAGTCCAATCTTCTTTTTGCATGATATTAAAGTCTGAAGAGAAATTGATGTTACTATTATTAAGGAATAAGCAAGTATTAATCCAAGGGAAATCTACATGTCTTCTGTGCATGACAGGGAAAGAATAAAGATCAACAGCAGTAAACATCAATATAAATTTAATCCAGTATCTTCTCATCCTTGGGTTCTGCATGCCATCACTCAGTTCTCTGGAAGGACATGCTTATCCTGAAGAAAGTGATGGCAACGGAATAAAGAATGATGCTTACAGTGAAGCACAAGCTGAAGGATCTTGTACAGTAAGGACAGGCTTAAGCAAGGATGTGGTTCCTGAATTAGATCCCTGTTGCATTTTCAAGTGTGGAAAACCCTTACTATGCCCAGAGACAGAAAATGTGTACAAGTGACAAAGACCAATTCATTCAGCAAATCATACAGCTGAGTATTCCAAGTCCACAAATTTTGGTTTACTCACAAGGAAAGATGGTTAAAATTAAATAATCCAAGATGTTCCTTTTATTTTCATTGTACTTGAGTATTTTTTACTATATTAAATGTCTTCACTCATTTTATGCATCTTAGAACCATGCCACACTAACAAAAGCATATATCTAAATACTGCATATTACATAACAATTTAACAACGCAGAATCAATTTATAAAAGAACAACAAATGTCATTCATTTGTACTGAGTAGGGCCTAATGCAGGACACAGTATGTATTGGGATCCTTGTACATTCAAATTCCCACAGAAAGTCTATCGTAAACTTTCCTTCAGTAGCTCAAAATTGTCTTTACTAACACCACAGTGAATTCTTTGTCTACCATTTCTCACTCCATCTCCACTTTGTCCCTGACTCCCTTTAGGCACTTGTCTGAAAAAAAAATTTGTATTAAAACATTCCTCCATTCTCTTCTCCTCCTCCTAGGAGTTTTCAGTCTTTCTACACATCAGGTACAAGCCCCTCAGCTTCACAAGCAAGGCAAATATGAACTGGTTTTCAGCTAAGTCTAACTGAGCTGTCCTTATTCCCCTTCTAAGCTTCTTCACTGCATATCACTGTCCTCTCTACCTGGGTTCAACTCCCATTCCTGCCATTCTACTCCTTAAACATCCATCTGTCTTTCCATTTCTTGTGCGACTTCATTTAAACATCTCTTAATCACACAAATCCATATGAAATAATCAAATAAGGAGACTGTGACACTATGTGTCTTCTGTCCTAGTGACAAAATCATTTCAGCCTATGGTCTCAGCACAGGCTTCTGAAAATAAGTCAAGTCATTCCCCAGAATCTGCAGTATTGAGAGGATGAATTTCATCTCACAGTGCACAAATATGCCAAATACAGTAGTTCATAGTCCAAAATATTCCAGGGATACGAACCTCCAGGAAAGTTAAACAATATATAGAAAGTTGGTTTGTACTTTGCTGAGTTCCTAAGTCACTTACTTCACAAGCTGCCTGACTGTTATTAAACTGTTTTGTTAACAGTTCAATCCACTGAAGCATTGTAGGCTGTAAAAAGAAATACAGAGAAAACTATAACTTAAAATCATAAATTGCAACTTGAACATTTCTAAACGGTCAGCTTGAACACTGACTCTTAAGAATACAGTTACAAACATTAAAGGCTTTATAAACTACCAACAGGTTGCACCTACACAAAAGTAACAGTATGTACATTGAAACTACTGAGGCAGCACCTACACATTTGGACTAATTGTCCAATTACACATTTTTACATATTCTTACTAATCCAAATCAATCTAGAATTAGTAGCATTATGCCACAATAGATGAGACAAAAGTAAAATCTGAGTAAAGATAGATGTTTCAGATAGAACAAAGCTTTCTTGTTGTTCACCTAGTACTTGTGACTTAAACTTTCGTAAGCCCAGTGGTAACCACTCCCCTCTACATCAGACTCTAACAAGGGCTTGTTAAAGATTCATATTGTCCAAGAATCTTCAGACAAAATGGACACACAATCTGGACACACAATCTCTTGTTCCTCACATGTTGCTGAAGCAAACTGAGCTAAAACCAGAACCCACTTTTGTTTTCCCATTCTGCAGTGTTTACTACAGAGGTGTTAAATGACATTCTTAAACTGTGTGTCATCTATGGTACTTAACACCTGGCTAAATCACACTTTTCAAACATAAAACTACAGACATACTTTTCACTATATTCATGCAGTTATTTAGTGAGAATTTACGAATAAATAGAGTACCTTTTCCTTTGAATGAATAAATGTCTCTAGTACAAAGGAAGTGCTTAACTGGAAAAAAAACATGGCACCATTAATTATAGAATGCCTGAGTTAAAGTGTCAACAAAGTAAAATTTAAGCTAAGCATGCTATACTTGTGAAGGACTTACCTTTGCTGTCATCAGGGAAACTGCTTTTGGATCTGGTAGTGTGCTTGGGATGCTACTACACAACTGCCACATAAACCTAGAGTCAGTAATTTTATTTGTTAATTAAAAGAAATAATGAAAATCTGCAAGAAGAAAAGAAGCATTAATATTACATTTTAAAAGAAAAACTTACCCAAAATATGTATGTTCAAAAATGTTCTTGTCTTGAAGAAACTGCATGTTATCATGCCATATCCACTGAAGAAAAAATGCTAACATCAGATACAAGAAAGCTGTTTATTGCACTACACAAGCAAGACCTTAAGAATATTTAAATGCTTGCCATGGCTAAGAAACCAAAATTTTGTCTTAGGAAAAATTCTTTTTGGAAACATTTTATTTTAAATGATTGGCTCAAGGTTGTTTTATTCAGACTACAGTCAATACTAGTTTTGCAGAGCAAAACTCAGAATATTCTCCTCTTTCTGTGATCTCATTTTTACAATTCACTCACATTTTTAGGCTGAAATTTTGAGAACTGGTCCAACACGTTAGAAAAGGACCACAGTCCAAGACCATATTTTGATGTCTGCAAAAATATAACAACTTAAAAACCCACAGAGAGCTCTCTCAATACATAGTTTTGCTGACTGAGATCAGTCAGACATTCCAGCAGCCTAGCTAAGGAATGTCTAAAGGCTGAAGTTGTGACCCACAGCTGATGAGCTCTGTGAACTGTTCATAAATTCTTAAAGAGTAAGATTTGACTTTCCATCTTAACCAGAAAATTATTTCATTCCAAGTTCCCCTGTTCCTCTCTCCAAAATGATGTTTTGGATCAAATCTGTTTGTAGTGGGTTTGATGTAAAAATAGTTTAAAAGTTTAGCTCTGATAAATCTATTATTCTTTTTACGATTGAGAAGGAAGCATTCTACCATGATTTACAGATATGAAACAGAATGATTCAGCTATCTGAATTTAAAAATACAAGACAGAATGAGAAAACATCTAAAATTTACATACAGTGAAAAATCTTAATTTACTGCCTATCATGTAACATTCTCCTAAGGAACGTAGCTAAATGAAAGGACTGTCAGCTTGTTGATTTAAATTATATTTGCTTTTCTATGTTTATTCAGATTCGTTATTGCTTTCCTATAGCATCTATATAACACAATTGGTGTTAAAACAAATCAACTTGTACCTCCAGCAATTCTGATGAAACATCAAATTTGTAGTCTTTGCCATTTTCCTCCTCTGGCTCCATCCGTTTATAAAACAACATGTAAGCGCTGTGTGTCTTGAAGAAAAAAACATCTGTATAATTTTTGCTTTGAGAGATAAATCGTGGAAATAGAAATATAATCATATAGCAAGTGACTGGAAGAGAAATACCTTTTCAAAGGAGAAGTCCATAAATTTATCAGTAACAGAATCATAAGTTTTTGTCTGTCGAGAAAGTAAAACCATTAATTACAACCTTTTTTAAGAGCCTGGTTATTGACAGTTTGAGACAAATGTGCAAGCATAAACTTCAGGACATTTGCAGAGAGGCTGCTGACAATTATTTCTTGCTCAAAGCAGTCATCTTTCTTTTTCCCTCTTCAGTGGCCCATTCTAAATTTTCAGAGTTGCTATGCAATACTGTGACCTGTATCTCCTGCAATTTCCTGCCTCATCCATCTCATTGACACCTCTCCTTTTTAGGCTCCTAAAGGTATTTTACCTGACTGCCAAACAAAATACTTTTTTCTTTTATTTCCTCATATTCTCTTTATCTGATGAGGATTTTTCTTATTTATGGAACCATTTTAGTAAGACACTGCATTATTAACAACATGTTATATATAATGATATGTAATTATAAAAACATTCAAAATTATCAATTCAAGCATAACCTGAGTGTCAGTCAACAGTTATTTGTATTATTACTGTAAAAAAATAGTAAGATTTATGTCAAAGGGCAGCGGGCTGAACTCAAAAGCCAAAGCTGACACTGTATTAAAAAAACTTGCACTACTGAGAGCAAACAAACATCAGCCTAAGAAATTTTATCTTCTTACAATAAAAGGAACAAGGCAAAACTATTTAAACTTGTGGATCCATTAGCTTGAACACCACTTAGTAAAATCAGAGCTCAGCTTCCCTGCTGAAAGCCAGCAGCATAAGCTGTACACAGATTGACAGGTTTCTAGTGCAGGACTCCTAAATTAGTTGCATATTCACCTTTTAATAAGTAAATAAATAATATGATAATAAAGAACAGATATAGTGAAATCTCCTTTCTTTGGAGAGGGACTTTGCTAGTTCATTTTTATTCATCAGTAATACCTAAGCTATACTTCTGATATCTGTCTTTTGAAACCACATAAAAATACTTGGTTTCCTATTCACAAATTAAGTAATAATGTGAGAGTTGGCACAAGAGAAATTAAGATTCTTCTGCTTTGTCTTAATTTCTGTTGTACAGGAAGCCTAGAAACACCAGAAAGCTTGCAGCACCAGCTTGCCAGCAGCCTCACTTTGCCCAGTCTTTCGTCCCCCAGAGGAGGGGAGACCCTCTGAAGGGATCAATGGTGGGAGAACAGCTATCCACATGAAAATAAGATATCCAGTCTCACCTGCACAACAAAGGCATCAGAGGTTTAATAAAACCCAGCTGACACCTCTCTGTTTAATAGACATTTACAACAGTTGGCAGACCAAAGCTGAATGCTATGGACTTGTTTAAGAAGGTCTTCAGAACAGATATTCTAATGATGGAATGTGACAAGAAAAAGTCATAACTTACAGTCATTTCTCCACCAAAACATTCTGAAGCAAGCTGGGCAGAATCAAATGGTTTCACTTCAGCATCATTGAAAAGATACCTGTAAAACCAGTAAGCTTTTGAAACAACTCCAGTTTTTTTTCCTAAGGGCAAATCAAGCATAATAAGCACTTTAAATGATTATTTAGATCTAAGTATTCCTATTAATTTCTAATGTCTTGCTTGACTTACAGCAAACTAAAAACCGATCCCTAAAGTGATTTCCTTTCAATAGAATCAGGAAGTTGGTATTTCAAGAGTTCTTGTTTTTGTTTTTTATTAAGAGACACATTATTTTCCTCATTTTTCCAACCTGACACTGGCACAAATAGGACTGTTATGCAGCCAAGATGATTTGCCTTTCTCTTTTCATCTGAGTGACATGAAAATCAAAATTAAAAAGAGGAGAATCATTCCATATAACAGCAGAATTCCAAATGGAAGGAGGCAGAGAAGATGGCACAGGGTTATGGACTCCCTTTGGAGCAAGGACTGGGTCATGAGTTGGAACTGTTTCAAAAATACTCCAGCTAGCTATTCTAGAGACAGGAGAAGAAGAAATCTTGTCTCCTATTCCATGGCCTCAGCTGAGAATTTGAGATATGACATCCAGAAATAACAGGCAGAGAGTGCTGCCTGCTTTCTTATATCACCTAGTAAGACCTTCTTTTCCATGCCTAAGTTTCATCCTTTTCCCAGGCTACATCTCCCAGTTTTTTCTTCCTCTTCACAACTCATGATATGTCCCACGTATGCAGAAGTTTCCAAATTAGAAGTGGGATGTCACAGTTAAAATAAAAAAATGTTATTTAAAAGGGAAAATAGTGCATAGCATTTATTCATACATCTCTTATGTGTAAGAAGAGCCCCTTTTATAATCTTTGAAAAGAAGGGACAGAAAAATAAATGTTGTCAAATGTTCTAGTATGTCACTGTAGGTTGCATCTAGGAGGAGCTGGCCAACAGGAAAAGAACACTAGCTAGATAAATTTAAAAATCCAGTGTGAAAACAATTACACATATAAAAAGCCCAGTGAGAACAGATTTGTACAACCAAGGAATTGTTGCACAGGATGCAACGAGTTTCAAGTGAAGAAAAATCCAAATTGTTATTTTGCTGAAAATGGACAAAATGGAAAGGACCAAATTCCACAATCAAAAATGTAGCTGTATACTCGTCAAAGGTAACAACCAGATTTTATTAAGTACAATCTATTAAATCTTACTGTTCATTTGTAACAAAATAGATTAAAATATAGTCACTGATAGTCCTGTCCTGAAAGTAGCACCGGCTGTAAGGCAAGGCTACGATTCCAGCTACACCACACAAATTTGTATGCTAATAAATTAATAAACCTGAACCTATCGAATTCCAACATGTTGTGCTTTTGAGAGGAACCTGCAGCACCTATCTCCTATACAACTGTTTCTGGCAGTCAACAAGCTTTAGTTATTTTAAACCAAGACATTTAAAATGTTTTGTGTAACTCACCACTTGTTGTTTTTGTACGCGTGGGGATTGACTATATCTCTGATAAAGCTGTAGTAATGGCCACCATCTGCTGTTCCCGTATGAACCGTTACGCCTATCAGATCATACTCATAACTTTCAGTTTCTTTCAAATAGTCACCATCTTCCTTAAAACCTGAAATAATACAGTATTTCACAGTTATTTCCTAAACACCTGAGCTTCAACATTAGTGTGTCCTACGCACATGGAGTTACACTTTATAGTTTTCAGCACTGCACAGTGACAGCCAGAAATTCAACATCCAGAACAATCAGCACACATCCCAACTCTACTGAAAGAGTCATAGTTCTTTTTGTAAAACATGAGTACTGAAAAGGACTAATAACTAAGTTATTCCAAGTTAGCACATCTGATTTATGATGGTAGTTAGTCAGCTGTCTGCTGAAGTTCAAGTATTACTCTGCAAAATCAAAACAGGCCATCAACAAACTTTATGTATTTGTGATGTGTCTCATACTTCAAAAACACATTTAAGAATAATTCAAATTAAACAATGTGTAAAAAAAATAATTGGCTGTTTTTTTCTCATATTAAATAGAATGTGTGACTTTGGAAATATAGCTTGATGAAAATTATGTTTGATTTTATTTCCTGAAAAAGAAAATCTCTAACTGTTGGTTTATGCTATGGATACAGAAAGTGGGACGCAGATGGAAGAGGCAAAGCTTGCTGGGTCCACTTTATGAAGCATACCTTCTTTTCTGTCATTTTTTCCCATGAGGAAATCCTCAGTGTAAGGTGTCATATCCAAACGTAAAGGGAATGAAAAATGTGTATTGACTTTCTCCTTCATCATGGTTACCATATTAAATGTATATCTCATTGTGTTGAAGCTTAAGATACGAGGTAGTTTCTTAAAACATGCCCTGAAGAATGAGAAATAATCATGATTTACCAAAAGCATAGTAGGCTGAATTGTATTTTCACAAAGATTTTAAACACATTTCTTTCAAAGATAAAATCAGAAATCTGTTGCTAAGTCATACAAATATAAAATCCAGCTCTTGTAACACCCTAAGAGCAGGGGAGGCCAACTGGCAGCAGAAAGGTCAAATGTAGCCCATGGAACATCTCCATTTAGCCTATCATCTTGCCTTGGAAGAGACATCACATGCACTCATCTGGCAGGAATGGCAGTATTCTTAACATGGTTCTGTACAATGAGTCATCAATGACTTTAACAATGCCAATCCCCTCAGTACTGCCTCGTAACTGACAAGTTCCAATGCAGAATGTTTCTTTTTTCTCAAACTTCACAATGATGATTCTGAAGTAGGTTAGATACACTTTCACCCATGTCATACCACCCAGCTACAAAAACAACTATGAGGTTTTTAATCTCTAAAAAAAGGAATTTATTAGTTGCAATATAAAGAAAATATCAAAATTTTATTTAGCTTTCTCTTTATTAGTGGGTGTTTTAGATTATGGAAACACTGTTAAATCTACCATGTCTAATTAAGAAATGTGGAGTTATGTACAAAACCAATTACTCTGCATAATGAACACAAGTACTGAACAACCTCTGAAAGAATTTACTCTTTTAAAAACCAGAGAAGTAACAGATTTCAAAAAGTCCTAATTTCTACAGATTTCTTTTAAAAAAAGTCATAAACATTTTACTAAGTGATCTTTTGCTGAGACACTATCATCATCTTTTTGGAAATTTGCTTTCTTATTTACATGCTTATTGGCACAGGGACCACATCCTCATAGGTGCACACAGCAGCAAACTGAATGAAACCACAGACCTCTTTCATCTAAAGGATTTCTTTTATTCTAATAGTACTTTCAGTAATTTCTTAAAAAGAAACATTAAGAATGTTAATTTCTTCTTAATCATACCTTTTTTCAGCCCGCACTTTCTTCCCACAATGAGAACATGTATACATGTTGTCACCTTCCAAGGTATCTTTAATAGTTACTTCATCAAGAGATTCCTACATATAATAAAAAAAGAGAGAAGGAGCTAAGATATTTGTATCTTGTGCTTGCATGGCCAGCTTTACAAACCCCTCTTTCAATCTTACAGTAAGTTTAATTAACATTTCTGTGAGTTATGAAAGTAAAGGTGGTCAAAGTCACCAAAATCTGCAAGCAGAGCATGACCCTGAACTAAGAGTCTGTCAGGAAAACCAGTTCTTAGCCCAAACACAAAATCAAAGAACCAGTTCAGAAAAATGATACTCAATATTCCAAGCTGTACCAAAGAATTCAAGTACTTTAAATACAAATTCAAAATGTGAGGATTAACAGTTGAACTTGAAAACCTAAAGTTATGCTGGTGTAAGTTTTAAACTAATAAGCAGTAGTACTCGTACACCTAAAATCTTTTGACATTTTCACTTCTCTCTTATAAAAAATGGCCATAACATTTTTAAAACACAGAAGTGAGTACATAGTGATTACTGATGGGAATACAATCTTCAGTCAATTCCAAATAGCACCAGCTGAGAGCATGTTGTATTGAAAAGACACGAACAATTCCTCTAAATTACCTGGTAATATCAACCCAGAAATACACCTCACTGCACCCACAAGTAACTGTGATCCAAGCTACACCTCTCAGCTTGGCATTACTTACATAAATATTCTTCATATCTGCCACCTGGCATCTTACTGTATAGAACTCTTCTGCAGTCTGACTTACATGCTCACAGTCCTAAATCACACCGAGCAAAGAGAAAAACAATGAAATAAATGTTTTGAGAAGTTTAAAAAAAATCTTTAGAGGACAAGGATATGGACAGGAAACTTACCAAAGACACAACATTGTTTGTGATAACACCTCCAAACAAACTTTTCACTGTATTTTTCTGTGAATGAATGAAGAAATTCTGTCAAGGGAATTTGAGCAACTCTGTAAGCTTTCAACCTCCCTCTTGCTCCCTCTTAGCAACTCACCAGTTCTGGAGACATTTCTTCTATTTTTGTTATTAGGTCAGTGAAGAACTCGGTCATATCTTTCTGCTCTCCAGTGTTCAGTGGCTGCTTATCCATAGTATAGGTTTTACAGAAAGGCCTTGGATTGTATGCCTTGCATTCACTTTCCTTTAGGTAAAAAGTACCAAGCAAAACAAATCAACACAAATCTTTGTCTTTTGAAGTTACACAGATGCACCAAACGCATGTACAGGAATGTCTATTAAAAAAGGACACACTTTTACATACAGTATCTCCATATACCTATACAGCAACAAAGTTAAAGGCTTAAATGCTTCTGATGAAATGTAAAGTGTTTTTTAACTAACTGGTTATCATTATTATGATATTAATTATTGTATCAGTCATAAAATAATATTAAATAATATTTAATAAGACAATAAAAAGAACCCTTGAAAGAACTTGGCTGAAGATGTGATACATCCAGTACCAGTTTGTCTGCTCAGATACAAAGCATACTGTGAGGAACCTCTGCCTGTATTTCTGGACACTACCAACTTAAATCTTGACAAGTCCTTAATTCTCTTTTAGACTTCTCTATGGTGTAAAACTGTACCATTGAGTTCTCAGTTGCATGTGTTGAGCCAGAGAAAAGAATCTGCAGTACAAAGCAATTCTTCAGAATAAATCCCCCATTCCACTGCCTTGCACACCAGGAATTCAGAACTTATTTACAGCAGAAGGAACTTTGTTCTTGTACACAACAATACACATACATTTTTCTTTTAAGCATGTGCAGCAAGACAGTGCTTCCTGTAAATATTACCTTTAGTGGAATAAAGTCAGTATTCAAGGTTTAATAAGGGTAAATCTTCGTATGATTTTATGTTCCTATATTATTTTATCCTTATGTAAATACCTAGATGTATTTTTTCTATGATTCATGGCAGACACTACATACCTAAATTCCTTTCCTCTGTTTGTCTTCAAACTGGGTATGAACTTCTTTTACAAAAGCCAATGCCAAGAACAAAACCACTCAGCTACTCTCAGTTGTCTTTTCATTAGTTCACTATTTCAGAAATATTTTGACAACTATTTTAACAACAGCGAACATCTAGAAACAGCCTGAAATTTGTTACTCAGGCTCTGGAATTTCAGAATTTTAGTTGCTTATGAACGTTTTATTTCAGTGGATTAACCTTTGAAACACTGGAACCTGATGTTCCCATATATTTGCGTCACCAATATTTTTTAAGAACACAGCAGACAGTCCCTAACATTTGAGAGCTGGCACTTGCTCATTATAGTTGGTGCCCAATATCAAACCCAATCTCAGATGAAGATTTACACTCCCTCCTCATGAAACCTGTTATGCCAATCTTTGCTTAGCTGATCTGCTGAGTAACAGCTTTAAAGTGGGTAATAAGTATTTCAGTTAAGACATTCATTTACAAAACTTAGGCACAACTCGACTTAAGCTGCCTAGAACTTGCATGTGGAAGAGTAACTACATTTTTGTTGCTTTCCCCACCCCTCAAAATAGGCTACTTTATAAAATATCCTCTTTTGCACCTACCATCAAGTATGTAAACATTTTCTGGAGTTCTAGTAGAGTGGTCTTGTGTTTCATATCTTCAGAATACTAAAAGAAATTAATAAAAGAAGACTTTATCTTTTTGCTTATAATTTTGAAAAAACAGCTCTTGTAAAGATGAAACAATCATCTTTATAAAATAAAAAACCCAAACACTATATTCTGGACAATTAAGGAAAATGATTGTGTACAAGAACACACAGTACACCATTTTACACACATATATAAAGCACTACCTACCTGTTTTTTGGCATGTGTTAATATTAAACCTAAGTAAAAAAATAACTGCTTTCTAAAAATTTACTGCAGCTAGGAGCTTTTGAGAATGAATTATAAAAGACTGTAGTAATTATTATTTTTTTTTTTTAATTTGCAGATTTTGAGGGAGTTCTAATCAACCCTTTATATAAAGCATATATAAACCCTCTATATAAAGCATTTCACATGCAGACACATGTAGCCTTCACATCCTTTCATAGCATCCTTCTTTTATTAGTTTTTATTTATAAATAGCTAATTCTAGATGAAGTTAAGTGACAGCTACCAGTAACTTAATGATAAGAAAAAATGAGGTCACTGACAGGGTGTTTCACAGATTATATACTCCCTGCTAATATCAGGGACCAAAATGAAGCTCTCTCTTTTACAATAAATAGCTAGAAGCAGTAACAGTATTTCTGGAAGTTAACCAATGTACAATAATTTACAAGACTTGCTGTACTTCTGGTAGCATGAGATACATGCTCTGGGAATTAATAAATATTTGAGAAGAATGAGATTTATTCTAACAAAATGACAAATTAGGAGATAAGAAACAACAGACAACTCACACAAACCCAGACTTGAATAAATCTAGTTGAGAGCAACAGAATTATGAGTTTGAGAACATTAGAAATGTTCTACATTGCTGCAGAACAAATATATTTAAGAAGAACCAACTCTTCACTTCAGGTGTCAGCAAAAGAGTCGAACTGGAAAAAAGCTGACTAAATGCTCAGATTCAGGCAGGCCAGAGCCCAGAGCATACCTTTGCAGTGAAGATTGCTTGTCTGGCCTCCGGTATCATGTAGAGCTGCTGAATAGTGGATGCCAAGTAACATGTTGCTCCAAGATTAGTTAGACCTACAAATCTACACTCAGCACGAACGTCATCATGTGGCCAATAATCCCACTTGTAGGGTGCATGGGAAGCTGTGAAAACACCAATCATGCAGGGAAAAAAAAATCAATTCCAAACACAACTTCCAAAACCATAAATACAATTAAAAGCTTCATGCTTACATTAATAAAATGCACCCTGGTGATGCATTCTGCATTGAGACATCTGAGTCAGACTGTACCTGCTCTTGAAGAAAATGCACTGTAGGGACATCAGGAACATCACTTAGGTACTTAGAGCCTTTCTAGATGCTGCACTGCTTTGGGCTGTAACAGATTTGCTGTACTCTCCAAGTCACTACTCATGGCAAGTACCACCTCTCACACTGGTTCTAGTGGTAGTATTACACATGGTCCTCCAGCCTCTACCTTCAGACTGAAGTTTGGTAAAAAACTATACTGTTTTCATCACCAAGAACATCCATAAATTCTAAACGTTGGCTGCTATGTGTTTTTTATACATAAGAAAAACATAAGATACATATTTTCATACATAAGAAGGGTTTTCTTTATATAATACAAAGCCAACCATAGCTCGCTCTCAACAGCTGCACTGCCTAAACTCCTGAGAACCTGCTTTTAACTGGTAGCATACAACACCTGAAAGCTCCCAAATGTACACCAAGCATTCCCCAGCACAAAAATTACTTGCCATTTATACTACCCATTCCCACACAGCCTGGTGTCACATTGGAAGAAAGTGAAGCAGAGTCCCTGCACCCAGAGACCCAAGTCAAGGAGCCTTCCCCTTCACATCACAAAACACAGATTTGGTATCAGACATAAGCACACATAAAGCAAGACCTTTCTTTTCAGAAGAGAAGCTGGTTTCAGAATGACATCTACTATAAAGGATGCCAGACCAGCAAAAGATCTTTTTGACCAGTACAAAAGATGGATGGATGCTGATAAGAGATTAGACACAAAAGTGCAGTGAAATAAGCTGGTTGGCTATACACAAGCTTGAATAAACTTGGGAACGGTTTTTATAGGAAAAGAAAGAATGTTTTTTACTGACCCTCAAAGCCATATATACCACAGAAATCTGCAATCTACAAGAAAAATAGGGGTAAGCAACAAACGAATTACCTAGAGAACCAGATTGAAAAGACATTTTCTTTTCCTGTAAGTTTTCTATTCTTCAATTTCATACCAGACGCAGCAATCTATTTCTCACACAGCGTGGCACTAGACAAGCTGGGCAAGTCTGACAGACTCCTCTTAATAAGTCTTGTTCTGATATGGCTGCCAAGAAATCGGAAGAATAGGAAAGTTCTCCTCAGCTGCCAGTCAAGAAGATGGTAACCAGACTAGACAAACCATTTGTAAGTGATTAGTACTGCTTCTAGACACTGACAGGCTTCTCTTTCTAGCACCCCACGCAGGAGAATGGCATGAGGAATTAATCATTTGAGCTGCAAAGGCAACTAGAGGATATAAGCACTAAATTACAGAGGAACTAATCCAGTGCCCAAAGAATCTCCTGTGGTATTTAACAAGTTTGACATGGAAACTTGCAATACATCTAGCTTGGCTAGTCATCCCCAAGAGTATCATCCAAAAAAGTTGAATGTCCTACAAATAATTCAGCACTGCTATCGAAGTGTATGTTCAGATATATAGAAAAGCAAAAAAGCAGCCTGGAATTATTTTACAATCCACAAAACCTACGTGGGTTCAAGATTTAAATTTTAAATCCTTAGCTATCTTGTCAAAGATTAAAGGCTCATTAAGGATTCTTCTCAATTCATACTACTAGCTAAAATTCAGGAAACTATTTGGCATCCTCTGAAGAGATTCTCACATCTTCAGAGACCAGACCCACAAGATGTTTTGTTGCACAACAAATAATTTTTGTAATCTTCATTTGGCATTGGCATCAAAACAAGTAATAGCCCTGCAGCTTCAAGTAGGGATGGAAGGAGTTTCAGTTCTCCTGTTTCAACAAATCTCAGTAGCATGACCTCATGTTACCTGGTTACATTGGGCTGATCAGCCAGTTGAAACAAAGCTCTCCTCAAACTTTAACCTTCTAGACAAAGTAATTAGCATGGCAGAACAACACAGAATTCCCTCCCTTAACTGAAATCCTTAAATGGCAACATCTTAACTCACCCCTTCTGATGTAAGGGCTATCACTCTGCTTATAGCTCATCAAGTTGTAATTACAGAGGAATTACGCGACTTCTTTCTACCTCATGAGAACGCAGTTGGGAGAAACTTCCTCCTACCTCAACCTGACAAAGGGCTTTCAGAAATCTGACAAGGAATTTCTCAGGAAGATCCTGTTTTCTCCACCCTGAGATTTTTAAGTTTCTGTCTTCAATTTTATAATCAAAGCTTTCCTTCTTCCGTACAGATCTTAAGTAGAAAGGTAAATTTGAGCCTCGTTTATGTCTATCATCTTTATTCCTCTCTGCCATTACAGAAACTGGCCTTTTCTTAGGAAGAGATAGAGAAACTTGTAACCAAACTTCCAATAGTCATGTTCTACTTTAAGTAAAAGGCAGCTGATCTTGTTTCCCTCCTTTGAACTGAATGCTTTCATTAGTCTTGGTCTTTAAAGAAAGCTGAACTCCAAAACACTGCAAGAAATTTTATGAACAACAGAGGGTATCTAAATCTTCTCTTTAGTAAGATCAGAGTCCACATGAAATAGCCCTCCCTGTTGAGAAAAGCCAGGAGAAAAATCAGCTGACATCAGCCACTTAGCAGTTAATTTCACTTGCTGAAAATGCATGAAGGCATCTACAAGTCTTCACTTGAAAACACCAGAACTGTTAAGTGGAAAAAAGCACTCAAGTCATTCTCCTCTTCCAGCCATCAGTGGAGGGACCTGTATTAGTGGAAACTTCAAAGAAAAATGCTGCTGCAGTTAAAACTTTACTACAACTATTTTAGGTTATTCCTGTTAGTCTAAGTCTGAAGATTCGTATGCAGTTGTAACATTTTAATGAGACTGCCAGAACAGAGTATTTTTTTTTGTCCCAAGGAAAATATGCTAGACATCCTTTAGTAAGATGTTTTCTTTTTTAAAATCTTACTTTATTTTGCTGCATTAAATGAAAGCCATCACTTTAAGAGCATCCTGACTTCAATCAGTTAGGAGTGTGGGAAAAAAATGGTACAACAGCAGAGACAGCAACTGGTGAGTCTAGAGAACCACAATGGTAAGACTGCCAGAATCAAAAATTTCTCCAACTCAACTAAAACATCACAACCAAAAGACAGGATAGAAATTTAGATTTTCCTCAATATCGCTCTTAAGGAGAGCAGAGAGACAGGGTTAAGACAAAGAGTTTTAAAGACTAATAAGATTACAGAGATAAGCAAAGTGGAAAAAAATCCAGGTTTAAGAATCTTTGGATCACCTCAGTGGAATAAGATGGCTTGAAACAAATGAGGTATCAGAAGTCCTGTGTCAGTTGCACATCAGAAAGAGACAACGGCGCTCTGCCAGTTATAATAAAATCAACATTCATGGGACTGAGCTATACTGAATATGGAGCAGGAGCACAGACCAGATGGCACTGGAGAACTCGGGGAAGAACAAACAATTTAGAGAAGAGTATCTGGAAGAAAGTAACAACTGTGGTAAATGTTATGGAAAACTTCAGCACCCAGGAATTACTGGGATTCAGAGTGAGAAAAACACGAACTGTAAAACAATGGATGACTGCACCTGGAGAGACACTCAGCAGCAGCAGATCTTGTACTCACAACAAACAGAAGTGTCCCATATTTTCAAAAAACATACTTTATAACATTCTCCCTGAACACAGGAGACTTTGGAGGCTTTTTGGAAGGCCCCTGGCATATGAGTACAGGACACAAAACATTGCCAGATTTCTCTTTTGCTTCCTGAGTTGTAAGGCACGAAATCAATTCCACAGATTGTAATAAATTACAGATCCTCAGTTTACAGGAATTTAAGCTGGGCATGTGAAAGGAAAGCTGCCAAGCTATAAACAGCGTAATGAGAATTTGCAAATCAGAGCTAAAATATTAACTTCAAATATTGGTAATTTACACATTATACATAGGAATTGTCCTTCCCAAACAGAGGAAGCATGAAAGCCAGGAGGCATAACAAGACTGTATTAGCACTGTATGCAGACCTCTGGGTACAGGCTGAAGTCAGCTACAAAGACATTAGAGATGTCAAATACATGGCAGTGCTGTTAACAGCAAATACATCCACATTAACTCAGTGTGGTTTATGTATAAACATACCGTGTTTCTTTATGTTAGAAAGGGAAAAGAAATTAAAATCCAGCACAAGCTTCCCACAGATGTAAAATCCACTTTCACAATGTTAATAGATAACATGCTTATCTATTGTATGTGTCGGTGTCATTTAACAGGAACACAGACTTTAAATAACCCATGTTTAAGAACATAAGATCTGAAAATTATACATGGTATTAAATCCACTCATTTGCTAGGTGAGCATTAGTCTACATGTGCCTTGAAGTACCTAGACCTATAAAGTGGTGTTTTAAGAGCTATTGTTAACAGCAACAATGTCTTATTTCAGTACTATTTTGGAAAGTGAAACTATTCAATTTAAGTCCCAAAATATTCTGTGTCACCTTTGCATTTCTCTGGTTTTACCTCTGCATTCTTAACAGACAGTTATTTTCAGGAAGTGATGAGATACAGACACCTCTGTATCTTGTAACCAAACTTCCAATAGTCACATTCTACTTTAAGTAAAAAGCAGCTGATGTTGTTTCCCTCCTTTGAACTGAATGCTTTCATTAGTCTTGGTCTTTAAAGAAAGCTGAACTCCAAAACACTGCAAGAAATTTTATGAACAACAGAGGGTATCTAAATCTTCTCTTTAGTAAGATCAGAGTCCACATGAAATAGCCCTCCCTGTTGAGAAAAGCCAGGAGGAAATTTCAGGAGGAAAGGGAGCCTCCATGATTGCAGTATTGCTCTCAGTGGTGGCCAACCATCCCCATCACAAACACACAGACTTCAGGCTGGGAGTCTGTAGTACAAGCACACTCTTATTTTCTTTACCAAACTTCAGAGACAAAAATTCAAAACAAAACCAAAAGGGACAGAAAATGCAAATGGACTAGTTTTCCACAAGTTGCTCAACAGCTACATGTGAATAAAGGTTCTTACACTGCATATGTTGTGCCATAACCCAGTTGTGGAGCAGCCTGTAGTTTTCCACGGATCCTTTCACCATTTCTACCAACAAGTCGTAAGCAGCAGCCCTTGAAGAATGTGACTTGCATTTTGGCTGTTGTCTGTCTTTCAAACTTGGCAGCAAGAACAGAAGATTGAAGATGTCTCTCAGAAACTCCTGTAGAACAGTTGAATCAGCACATTTAGCACTTTGAACACGTTCTTAAGACAAGTCACGTAGGAACAATCTTCTAAAAACTTCTATGGGCTTGCTAGACCTCTGTCATCTACAGAACTTTCTGGCTTGTATACAAGCTCTGAATTCCAAACACCAAAACCTTTATACTATGTTAAGTATTACAGCCTCTCGAAAAGAATGACACATTATGCTTGATTCATGATTGACAATTTCATTTGAGAAATCACACGTTTTTAGTAACTTTAAGACTAGCTTCTCCTAGTGAAAGTCTAGGAGCACATAACCCTAATCACTGTACTTGTTCTGAATTTCTAAGTGTATTTTTGAATTGTTTCATGTTTGGAATATTAACTGAACTAGAAAAGGCACAAAGCATAGCTGTACCAAGTCAGGTTGCCTTTGGATGATCAATATGTATTACACACTTATTGATCCCTGCCATCCCAAATGAATACACTAAAAAAAGATATGGATCTGCCTGAACTACTTTCTACTTAGTGAATTTAATTCAGTAAAATTAAACCAAAAGCACAATATTAAAAGGAGACCATGAAAGAAGAAATTGAGCAGAATTTATAAAGCAGTATTTCAACACATTCCCTTACACAACCAGCAATTCACATGCATGCTTTATGTCTAGGGATGACAACATGATCTGTAGCTTCTGTAAAATGTCTGCAGTCTTAGCAAACTGTATTTAATCATCAGATCTTAGTAGTAGTGCATCATTTTAGTTGCCTATACAATCAGACAATAAATCCTGTAGAGATAGAGTATTTTGATGGCTTTTTTTCACTTCAAAAATACCTTCTTGAATATTTTTTAAGGAGAGAATTCTGCCCCCACTTCTAGAGCACAGGTTACCAATCCAGCTACTGTACTCCATTCTACTATTTTCTACAAAGTAATTTAAAAAATGTTCTTCCTGTATTTGCCCTTTCAGGTATATTCAGTTAAGAATTCTTTCAATGGTAACAGGCAGATTCTGCTGTTAAATCTAACTAAATTCTTGGTATTGCTAAAAATGGCCTTCTGCAGAGCACACAGCAAAAGCACCAGAAAAAGCACTGTTTCAGTGTGCAGGGAAATTCCTGGAGTCTTTATATAAAAATCTTACAACCAGGGTCATATGTTCATAGCTGAATAATATGGAGAGGTTTTTCTCCTGGCCAATACAGTCTTGAATATACACAGAATTAAAAAAAACTAACACCAGATCATGACTTAGTCTCAGAAAAGGTACTAAATCTCTTTCTCTCAGCTAAAGCAAATACTTTTGGAGATGCTCATTGTGGATGCTGCTCTGTTCACAACCATTCATTTTTCAAATCAAATTTCTGGCCTGCCTGTGGCTTTCTATGCACGTACAACATACTTTAGGATTCTGTGTAGTATCACTCCTCCTTACTTAAGCCTCCCTTTTTTTTTTTTCCCCTTATATTTTTCATATACCCAAGCTACATAAACCTGATCTCTACATACCTCTTCTATTATAATTTCTACATCATTCTCCCTACCATACTCTGGTAATCAAATTCCTGCTCTAACTAAATCTGCAAGCTCTCCATACTTTAAAACTTCACTACAAAGACCAATCATAAATACAGTTCAGCAGTTGAAGTTAGCTTTTAACCACAATTTATTTTCTTTTAGACAATGTGGCCCAGAAACACAAGAGTAGAATTTTTTTAGCAGCTTCCCCTGCACAGTCCCTCTCCCATCTAACAGCACAGGTGGAATGTAATATTCTTGTAATAGGTTGTCTGCCACTATGTAGATGCAGAGCTTAAAAGCTACTTTTAAATCACAGCTGTCTCAGGATGTGGTCAAAAAGAAGCTGTTGTTGATGCTGTTTAAACCACTTCTAAATACCAGATAAACACTAAAAACATTTAAAGATAATAAATGAAAATAAGTAAAATTTCTAGGATGTAAGAACTCTACCCTGAAATGAAATATAGTTATAAAAGGATGGGACTGAACGTTATGCTTTTAAATAAAAGAATGGTACTTGTGGTTTTATCCATCAACCTAAGGCTACAAATATGGTAATACCTTCATCTGTTGAGCTGTGTAATCAAAATGGGGGAAAAGAGGCGAAACAAAGGTGGTGTAGTAACAAAAGATGACACTGTTTTCATTTCTTCTTGGTCTTCCAGTGTCCTTTTCTTACCTGGCCTTCCCGAGAAAATTTAAAGGGTGGTTTGTGCTTAATGACGCTCGTTGCAAGACGAAGCAGCCCGGTAAGTCCGTCATCTTCTACATTACCATCCTGGTGGTCAAGGATTTCTCTGCTATACATACACATACACAGGAAAGAAAGGTTAAAACTCCATCCTGCTAACAAGAAATAGAATGCAATATTCAAGTGAAATTACTGTTAGCAAGCCTCACCTCCGAATGCAGTCAGCAAGATGTCTGGCTAGTGCATCTAAATCAAGGAGTGTCGTCTGATTAAAGAAAATGCAACATAAATGGAAATAATTATATACTTAATGAATTAAAACCTATAAGCCTAGTCTGAAACTAAGTATGTTTTGGATGAAACTTTGTTATTGCACACAGAAAATCTGGGACAATTAAAACTCATCTCTGAATCATGCTCACAACAGTATTTTAATAAAAAGTTCTTGCTTCAGCTGAGAACATCTGGAGTCAGGAGAGGACAAGATTTTTCCATTCTGCAGTGAGAAACTAGGATTAAGGCTTCATCTTCCCTCTCTTCCCACACTGCTGCCACAACACCGACAACAAACTAGAGAGATTTATGTAGGACCACTAGCCAGCACCAGCACTTAGAGAATTTGCCCACAAGGTAACTTGAACCCTTTAGAGATGTTTCCAAAGTGGTGATTAAGTTTTCTAACCCGTGCTAAGTGGCTGTGAACTGAAATTCTTTCCTCTTTCAAGCTTTATTCAAATACCTTTTTTTTTTTTATTACCTCTTCCTTAGACTGCATTGAAATTATCAACAGATAATCTCACAGATAACTACAGATAATCTCAATGTCTGTTATCTTCACCTAAATTCACCCTCTCTGTGTATCATACCTATTCTCCCTTCTTGACTCTACAGGTTCAGCATCTGAAGCTTTCTTTGGCCAAGAGCTACTAAATATACATTCAGAGAGCAGGGAATGCTGAGAGATGGCAAAGATCCAAGCGCTGCTCACAGCAGTTCACCATAGCTTAAGTAAAAATGTCTCATACTGAAGTAAAAGTGGTTGGAATACCCAAATTTATAAAAGTAAACCTTCATATGAATGCAAAGCAAAACCTACCTGACTTGCATCTTTGACATGTATGTTATCAATCAGTTTGCACAGCAGCCAAAAATATTCCTTGCAACCTGGTCGCAGCACTGTTTCCTCTTCATAATCCTCTATCTGTGAAAAGAAATTGCTTTTGTTCTAAAGTACAGCAGACAAAATAATGTGTATTAAAAAAAAAGTAGTAGACACAGTAACTGTTAGAAGAATATTACTTCTTCAAGCGCCTACCTAAAGGACAAGAACAATGTATTTTACAATAGTAACTGTGCATGTTCTATTTTTCTTCTGCAATATTTATTAGTTTTCTTGAAAGGCTGTCAGGATGATATGCCAGAGCCTTAAAGAAAATTTAGAATAGTATTGACTCCATCCTATCCACTGTGAATTGTAGAAATGTTCAGTATTAGACTAAAGACACAAGAAACTTTGAATTCAACATCAGTCAGTACAATTCTAATTCTAAACTCTTCTGAAAAAGCATGAAATTATATCAAATCTTCTGTAGATTGTTTTAATTTCAGTTGTATTTTTAATATCAACAGAATTTAAAATGAAAGCAGACTTAAATTGAATGAACCACTCTCACCTGAAATCAAATGCCACCCAGGGTCACAAGAATAACTGCCTGAGAGACCCCAAATCTAGGTTCATACTTCACAGCTCCACAAGTCCATACAAGCAATCCTTCAGATCTAGCTACAGCAGCTGAAGTCAGCACAGCCTCCCCAATATGCTTTGCTACCTCTACAATCCCTAACTGACTTCAGGCACAATCATCCAGGTTAGTTCAAACCACCTCTGTTAGCCTGCATACATTAACAGTGAGAACAACTCCTGAAGCAGCTCTGACAGCATCCAAAGAATCTCTTCTACTCAGTACAGTTGTGAGGGTGATAAAATTCCAACAGAAAAAGAAAAGCAACAATTGACTGGGGAACAGTAACATTCAGTCTCAACAACAGAAGGTACATATGTACACGTAAAACAAAATACTGATTTATTTATGGATTACCTACATTTAAAAGGGAAATTGAGGCATATATTGAAAACACAACTGTTATTCCCTAGTGATGTGTTATGTGGACACTAGAATTCCAGAACAAGAGCACTTCCTAAATGCTGTTCTGCATTTCTACTAGCACAGGCAGCTCTAAATTACTGTAGTGTCACAGCTTAACTACTTTTGTGATGTTTCTGGAAGCATCCAAACCAAAAGTATTATCTCAGGGTATCAGAAAAAGTATGTCAGACCCAATGGTAATATGTGCTATCATTTTTTCTTTTTATATTAACAAAGGTAAGTTTAAATAGATCTTTGATAACATCTTGTAATTTCTTAGATTCTCACCCGGATTGGTTTCAGAGCTTGAGCATCAGGGAGAAATTTTAACAAGGTGGATGCAGCCAGCAGCAGAAAGGAGCGATTAATGGAGTCTCCCCCATCCAGTCCAGAGAGAGACAACTTGTATAAACCATTGCAGGACTCATGGCGAACAGCAGTCTGTATGAAAAACAAAATAATTTAATGATTAAACACATTAGTTAGGAGATCTTTTGCTTTTGTTGACTTTTCTTTCATATGTACCTAAGTTCCTCTCATCTATCAGGATATCCAGGTGGAATATGCCTTTGTAAAGGCACATTACAAATAACATCCATTCAAATGTAGTCATTTTCTTCTTTCTTTTATTGTTAAGAAAAAAATCCATAAACTATCTCTAATCCAGCTTTGGAAGTCTGCACTCTTTCTTTACCATGGTTTTTGAATTGAGTGAAAATGTAAGTTTTTTTCTACACTTGAGTAATAAAGCAAGAGATAATTATCACATCATGTCCCTGCTGCAACTTTAAGCAACCACTAGTAAATACAAAAATTATCTGCTATGCAATTTTCAAGTTTTCCTTGGATGAGAAAAAATTACTTAAAGCTAGGCAAATATTCAGGAATAACAAACATTTTTATATCAGCTCAAATTCACCTTGTTTTGTGATAAAGCTGAAAAAATATAATAGGGTAAGTCTATTTAGACTAATCCACATTAAAGGATCATCCAGATCACTCAGAAATTTCAACAAACAGAAAAACTACCTTCAAACACAAGCCAAGAACAAAGATGGGAGTTTAAAAATTGGTTTGCAATCAACCACTAATGGGCCATCTTACATGGTATTTTAACAACAGCTGATTACTTAAGCAGGATTGCAAGTAACTGCATCAGATCCTGCCTACTTTCAGCAGG